TCTTGCTCCAGCGCATCTATCGCGTGGCCCGTTAAAGGGGCAAAACCACAGCCGGGTAGGACACACAGCAACTGTCTGTTCAAAGTCAAGCTTTTAAATTTTCTCCAAAATGCAGGCAGGCGGCCTGAAATTCTGTATGAATAGTTTAAAAGAAATGAATCAGCTTCGAAGGAGTAACTGCTGCGAGTACGCTGTCAGCAGCACGTAAATGTCAACTGATTCACTGCAAATACAACACGGGTACGGCCTGACTGCCGGTTTCGACGACACCCAGCGTATGCCTCACACGGCAGGGTGGACCACACAGGGACGGCGACTTACGCCTGGAGTAGTTTACAGTAGTAGTAGTAGACTTGCACCGCATCTAACAAACTTCCTCCCCTCAACCCACCGGGTACAGACTCATTAAAACCGGAGGCGGGATTGGGTGCAAGTGGAGGACGCGACATTCCACACCACCCTGCCACTTGTGACATTTGTTTTGGGCGCGCATTCCAAGTAACGCTGGGCAAGCGCGATTAACGCGTGACGAGTTGCAGGGGCAGCACTACGTTTTTTTCCGCCGAGGTTTGTCCCGAAGAATGCATTCTAAATTCACACATTCATTTATGACGTGCATCTACGCAGTTAGCCAGCCGCAATGTCGAAAAGGCGAGGTCGTTCGATTTGGATACCCCTTTAGCCTTATCCAAAGCAAGATTTTTACCGCAAACTGCAATATAAGTTTTCATAATTCCCCGACTTGTATTTTTCAGCGAATACACTACTTTCTTATTATGTGCTCTTACTAGCAAGCCGACTGACATAGCCTACTTCTCCAGGGGCATAAATAAGGTGGGTAGCGCGCAAACCCTTCTTTTTGAGGTATTAGTTTACTAGTAGAAGGGGATTTGTGCGTTTGAAGTTTTGCTCAGTGAACTCAACTAGAGTCATAGGGGTCGCGGAGTTCACTAACGCCTTTCACATGCTTGACTTGGTGGGGCGGTGACCATGCCTGATGCCTACAGGTGGCCTGCTGTGCGAATCGAGGGCAACATAACAAAGTTAATGAGGCGGACGACGGAGAACGTGCCCAAACCACTTTAGTCGTCTTGCATGGATGGCCTGAGATATGCTCGCTATAGTGTCACAGCGAGTGCGGACTGTCTCATTTGAAAGGAATTCACTATACTTCACTCGAAGGATGGTACCCAGGCAGCCTTGTCGAACACCAGACGGGATATCGAACGGTTGGGAGAGGTTGTTGTGGATCAGAGCTC